CCGCTATATTTCAGCTGCTGTTCCTCTGTAGCTGCTTGCCCCAGTGTATGATGAAGCTACAAAAAGACCTGGGAAGGAAGGTGGGATAAAACAGCATCCAGAAAAAGCCTGAAACTGACAGTGTGGCCAGCATCCTAGCCACCCACAGTGAGTTGTTTGATGTGAGAAGGAGGCCTATAGGAAAGAGGTGTGGGAGCTGTACCTGTGGGGTAAAGAAAATAGCCTGTCTCTCAAAACAAAACTTTCATTGATTTTTAGAAACTTTATTTTACTTTCACTTCACCATCTACCTGCAATGCTGCTGTTGAGACGGACAGACAACACTTTTTAATGTTTATTATTTGAGAATTTTTCCCTCTTCGTACGGCATCAACAAAATCAGCAAAGGCTCCTCATCTGTGGCTCTGTGGGAAATAGGTTGTCAATAAAACGGATGTGCCCAGGAGGGGTGGGCAAGGGTGGCATGGGCCTCTGCAGCCCTACAACTTTAACTGTCTACCCCCGTCAGATGTAACAAAATCCAGATACTTCCGACTCAAATCCGGTCTGTTTCCAAATGGCTGCTGAGCCGTACAGATAAACTCCTGACCTGAATCAGAGGACATGAAAATACATCCAGAGTGACTTGAGGTGATCCTTCTGCATCCCAGTCTATCCTTGAATCTTATCTGCAGAGAATCAAAAGCGGCAGGAAAAACTGTGGTCTTTTTCTACCCAGATAGGTATTCACTACAACACCACAGCAGGGATATGCTGGTCTCTCCGCAGGAGGACAGCTCATCATATCATTACTGAAGAAAACATTCATTCAGACTATCATCTATTTACTACATTGTTGCCATCTGAGGGTTGTTAGCGCACCATCAAGTCTCACACCACCTGTTTCAAGAAGATCCTCTATCCACAGGCGCTGAGACTCATCAACAGCCAGCCCACAGGGTCACTGATGAGAGGAAATACTGGATACTGGTTATTCATGTGTGTAATGACTGGATTATGATGGTTTTCTCTACATTACAATCGGAGGATGAAATACAGTGTTTCATAAGAGGGGTTTGGTTCCCCACAGAACCCTTGGAAATCATCCTGTTCAGTTATTTTGAATATTCAACATATTATATAAACCATAGATGACAAATAATGAGATTTTTGGTACTTTTGTAGAAAGTTTTACTCTTACTAATTTACACAATATGCTGTTGGTTATGTTGGAATCTGTCCAGAGCGGGGTTGTCTGAGCAGTAGCCTCTAATTATACAGAAAAGAGTTGCTGTACATTTTAATAAACTGAATACAATGACAATAAACTGAACTGAAATGATTCTTGGTCCTATCTGGAGCACTTTGTCCCTGCAGGAAGATAAAAACAGACCACTGCCAAGTTAGCCTCCAGCAACTTAGTCACCAGTTGACTGTATATAAATCTGTGAGGGCTTTATTTGCATAGTTTGTTCATATACTGTATGAGAATGTTTTGTCCCTGTAGACGCAGTTAGCATATATTGTGAAATTTTGTAACAGCTAAGGTACTTCTAACACCTCTCCACAGATGGGTGACCAACTTTAGAAGAAAACACTGAATTAATGAGAGCAGAATCCCATCCCGACGCTGATTTAGGGAATATTTCTTTGAGTTCTGTGCCGAGGATTTTTAGAATCTATGACAAGGATCAGCGAAGCGTTTCTGGAGGCTCTTTAAATATGACACTTCAGATTTAATAAGACTTTTATGGTCCTCATCTGCATGTTCTGATGACAGTTAGAGCTTACATAAAAGCTGGTTTGTAGATTATATAAAAACCGCCAGATTTACCACATTATCAGATTTTGGTGGTCTTAGTTTCATGAATGTGGAAAAAAATAGATCACCTTGAATTGTTCTTCTGTGTTTTATATTAAATTTTTGTCTTCTGTGACATTTGGAGGATCTTCTCTTACCCCCCAAAAATTGCATGGATGTTTTTTCGTGCACCTTCTGCAGAATATTACCACAAAGAAATTTGATGAGCGGCTCTGTTAGGGGTCAAAGATGTATGAGTTTTAGAGTCTATTGTTATGAAAACTCATTCTCACATGGCTCGAGTTGTGATCCACCAAGGTTACCCTGCTCCATATGTGCCTCTATCGCTCATACCAGTCTGTCTAATAATTGAAATTTCTTCATTACTTTACAAGTTTGGCATGTGCGTACGGCATTATGCTATCACATATAATTTATACAAACAGCTAATCATAATGCATAATGTAACAAGGGAAGTGTGGAGACAAGCTCAAGGGCTTTGGGTAATGCTAATTGAGTTTGAGGATGGAGAATGTCACAGACATATTGTTTGTGACGACATGCTGTGCTATAATTACTCATGTTGAATGAGAACACTGAACGTGGTTAAAAATACATCTTTCCCTGCACACAAACCTGATGACTACACCTCAGTGTATTCCCTCTCCTCATCTGATGCAAACAGTAACAGCTTTCTCTGTTGTGCATCCATGTCTCCAAACTTCTAATAAGTATACAGCGTACTTAATATTTTAGTATATTCCGTTCCACGTGAGTCTCAAACTTGTCAATTAGGTCTGTTTAAAGTCGAATTCTGATTGATTAAAATCAGATTAAAACAACACATTTTTAATAATGACATAAAGAAAACTGTTTCGCTCCTTGGGAATCCTGTGAAGACCAATTAGACTTGAGTGTAATCTTACACAACCTCTTGATGTCACCGAGAAACACGCTCAGAGCTGATGCTATAAGTACAAATAATACCACACAAAATGAGACACACTGTCAGGACTAATAAGAGTCCTCCACACCTCCCACCCACGCAGCTTGAAGCAAGAAAACACACACACGCACGCACGCACGCACACACACATCCAGTCCACTGCTTCAAACATTAGTCCAGTTAAAGCCCAGGGTTTTGTTGACTGATTCACTGAACCAAGAAAATTGACCCCGAGTAAGCTTCAATTCAATAAACATCCCTTCAATGCATCTGATTAACTCCATTAAGAAACTCTCTTCTACTGAGAAGCTGCTGCTGACAATGAAAAGAACAAGGGATTCTGGGAAAAAATACCACAATTCTTGCACAGATAATGATCAAGAACAGACTAAACCTGAGAAGTCAGGATCTCTATTTATACAGACAATTAAAACTGTCTGAGACTCAGTGAGAAGTGAACAGCTCTGCTGGATGAGTGGGTGACCCTGTGAGGGTTTCTGTGCCGTGCCTGCTCAACTGACACCCTTTGGCCAAAGTTTGTTGATTTTTTCTTGGACTGCATGAGACATGGCTGGCTCGCACCCAGAGCACCTCACATTATGAAAATATGTATTTCCCCTGAATCTATGGATTGTTTTTCAAGGTTAATGTCTCCAGTTTCTGGCTCTGTAGAAGCTGTTTTTTTTTTCAGTTTTGATTCTTCTTTAGATATTTTTGCACAGTTCCTCTCAGAGCCTTTTCTGAGATAAGATGATACCGTTTTGAGTTTTTCAGCCAAAAGCCTACGAGGGAAATATAATGTCAGGTTTTTAAACGACTAGAAAGTCTTTAAAAAATTGAAACTTAGTTTTAAAAACTCAAAATCTCAAAAGTGAGTTTCAAATGCTTTCATGATGTTGTGATTAAAAAGAAAGCACCTTTACTGCGCTCCTCAGGAGGAAGGGTAAGAGGGGGCCAAAGGGTGAGACGGGTTGCAGTGCTGACAGGTAAACTGCACCCCTGTTCAGTACCTGGTCTATAAATGAGCAGGACTTAGTTCTCTGGTCTTTTTCAGATGTCAGGCAGGAACAATATTCAGGGAGTTCAGATTTATGAAATCTTGGGAATGACTAAAATCTTTACAGGGTTACAGGGATTCAATGTTACATTTTCTACAAAGCACCCACTGAATAAATGCTAATGCTCACACAAGCTAAAGCTAATGTACACACAGAATTCAACCTGACGATGGTGTGAGCTAATGCTAACAGATACCTGAGCGAGCGTTAACACAGCGCTGTGTCAGGGACAGTTTGATGAGCATTTATGTTAACAGGATATCAAAAATCAACACATGCAGAGGTTCAGTCTTCAACATTAGTCCCTTTATTCAGATAAAACTATGAAATTCTTATATGCACCCAAGACTATCAGGGCTTTGACTTCGGCACACCAAGACTGGTAAGAAAACCTAACCCCAAACTGGGATCTGGAGACTTTGCATGTCAGCACATCCCACACTACTGATGAGACTTTTTGCTGTATCAGCATTAAAATAACCCACCCAACCACATAAAAGAGCAGCGAGCATATATAGAGATGTCCTTCAAATGGTCCAAGATGATTTGCAGTGTCTGCTAATAGTGTCTGCCGGCTCTGGATGGAGATTGCTGGAGCCGTCGATCTGTGGTTGTCTGTGGCATAAGGCAGGGCCCAGACACCGACTCAGAGACAAGAGAGCAGAGTCGCAGAGGTTCTCATGGCTATCAGAAGGTAAAAGGAACAAAAATAAACCACTGATGATCATCTCTCAGCAGGAAACTGAGTGAGCTACACACACACATCGGTTATATCAGCATCTACGTCAACACTACAACATCTGCGCCAGATCTGCCCCTAACAAATGAACGAGTGACTACGAAGATCCACAGGACAGGGACTGTGACATGCAATACGCCCTAACACAGGCTGCCTTCAGTACAGTGAATAAGTTTTATACCCACACACCGCATATACGTCTCAATTTGATCTCTTGACCTGTCAGCTGGGGCTCTAAATACACAGACAATGTATTTATCACCTCGGAACACAAGCTAGCAGTTATCAACACTTCAAATAGTTGATGGCAGCTGTAAGGTAAGCCAACATCATGGGTGAGGAAACAGAGAAGTGAGGCCGGTGAAGATCATTGGTGAGAAACAAAGCACTTCAGCTAGGAAGGGTTTGAAAGTCATAAGCATGGGTGAAGTATTATACGACACCCGAATGTCAGCGTCATTGGAGCTTTAAACAATGTTACTGAACTGGTAGATTCTCATATTGCCCTCGCTGATCTGGATCATAGTACAGCAGCACTTTGCTGTAACCGTGTCTGGTCATGAAGCCAGCTGTTGGCATGGTAACAATGGTGGCCTTGGGGTGGAACTTGGCTGTATTAATAACCTGTTCTGCAGACTCCCAGAACATCTGTTTGGGATTTATAGACCTGGGGTCAGCTGTGCGATTCATGGCAGGACACTGTGGATCAGACCCCTCGTAGATTTTTGGTTTTGAAAAGTACCTTTTTTTGCCATAGATAGTTTGACTTCATTGTTTTTTTGGTTGGGGTAATTATAGACTGTATATATTATTATTGCAATATATAATTATTTTTACTTACTATATTAGCACTGTGTAATTACTCGATGATCGATGATGAAATGATCTGATTGTGTCAGCTGAAATCCAGACTCATCTGTCCCGGTTTCTCCAGTCTCCTATAGTCCAGTTTTGTTGAGCCTGAGTGAACTGTAGCCTCAGTTTCCTGGTCTTAGCTGACAGGAGTGGCCCCCCCGGTGTGGTCGTCTGCTGCTGTAGTCCATCTGCTTCGAGGATGGACGTGTTGTGTGTTCAGAGATGGTCTTCTCCAGACTTTGATTGGACTGAGTGTTTTTTTGACTCACTGTTGTCTTTTCTATCATCTCAAACTGATCGGCCTGCTCTCCTCTGACCTCTAACATTAACAAGACATTTTCATCCACATAACTGCTGCGCACTGGATATTTTCTCTCTTTTTTAACCATCTTCTGTAAACTCAGAGATAGTTGTGGGTAAAAATCCCAGTTGATCGACTTTCTGAAACACTCAGACCAGCTGAACCCTTTTCTGATGCTCCATTTGGACCTCAGTGAGTCCTCTTGACCACATCAATATGCCTGAATACATTAAGTTGCTGCCATGTGATTGGCTGAGTAGCTTTGTGTTGACAAGCGATTAAACAGGTGTACCTAATAAAGTGGCTGGTGCATTATTATAAGCTCCTTGTTTTAGTACTGGATCGTTCTAGAGCTACACTGTACATGTAGTTTCTGAAGAATAGGAGCTGATTCAGATACTGCACATTCAAAATCTAGTCTTGATACACCACAGCTTGTATAATCAATAAATGAATATAATAAATCAATATTGCATGACCATTGGGCATCCTACAAACTTTTACAAGTAGAAATGTGCGGAGGCTGATCAGACGGAGACAAACATGACCGAGAAGAAAAAGTGCACTTTTATTTATTTGTTTTAGAAATGTCTTTCTCAAGGATTCTCATTAAAAAACCTTTTCTTTCTTATTGTTCTTATTGTTGCTTTGAGTGGTTTTTGTTTGGAGTCTTTGAAAACTAGTCCACCGTAGGAAGGTCTGCCATGCCATTGTTATCTTTTCTTTTTATGCTGCCTGGTAGAAAATATAAAGTTTATTCAATTTAGCTAGACTGTGATTCTCCCCTTGTTGCATTGAATAAAAAAGATCCAATTTAGAGACCTCTTTAATCATCCTACTTGTGTCCAGTCTTGTGTCAGAAGAGATTTCAAAGTACTGAGGCAAATACTGCATAAATATATCGAAATATTTGTGTTTTATCATACTGCATTTCTGTATTTGCTCAGACTAAGACCAAGCAATACACTGTTGACATGGAAACGCTACCCACCATCTAAACTGGGTTATGCTATGGGAATAAAAAGTCTTTAATCAATAAAACAATCTTTAGATCGATTATTGGTGGTGATTATTGGTGGTAACTTTAGGTAAGTTTGGCTCAGCATAATATGAAGAGGACAGTCTCAGTATCAGATCTGAGAAACTAAATCAGCTTCTTTTGTTTGTTTTTTCAAGAATGTTGATGAACATTCGGAGTCGGAGTAGAAAACACTCGTATGATCCCCTAATTCCCAAAAAAAGACTTTATTTTGGGATAATTAACAATAAAACGACAGCACACACACACACACACAGAGAGAGAGAGAGAGACGTGGAAACAAGCCTTTAACAAAATGAGACATCCGTGCTACAGATTCTTCTTTTTATAGGAACATCTATTAACCGTGCGTGAACATCTATGAATCCTTTTGCTACAGCTCACTGCTGTATCTAAAGGTGGCTGCTAGAAGAGCAAACAGTGCTTAAGATTTACAGAGATTACAAATTTAATTGAAAACTCTATTATCTCTATGGAACACCAATCAGGGAGTTTGCAGTTCATAAATCAATCATAGCTGAGCACATCAAGTTGAACAGCTGACAGGGAAGCGGCTCTGAAGTCCCAACATGATACTGAGTCACTAATCCGTTTTCCTTTTCGGTGATTCATTTTCCTTTTTCCCTCCCTCTCTTTGTGAGAAAAAATATCTTTTAAAACACATTTTTGATTGACTCAGAAATGTAACAAAGAACCCTGAATTACTGATTAATATGAGCGGGGAAATCTCCCATTTACAGACAGAGCAACATGTTTATACATTGAAATTAGAAGCAGTAATTGACAGCTTTGAGGGCTAGAGAGAGAGACAACCATGACCCACCACTCTGCTCCATTATGCCCTTTTGATTCCTGCTTTAAAGTGGATATCAAAATAGGACCTTTTATGCTGGTTGTTTATGTTCAGGAAGCAGAAAGCTGATGCACAAATGGGTACTTGCATTTCGTAGGGTCACAGATATCAAGATTCAAGATTTAAGCTTTTTTATCGTCAGTTTGTTTTCACAGGGAAGATTAAAAAAATAGAGAGAAGTGGAATTCAGTAGAAGAAAGAAGAAAAGGTGTTTTATATATATATATCCTTTAAAATATCTACCAATCTCTCTCCTGTTGCCATTTATAAAAGCCTTTTTTTTCCAGGAATATTAGAGCTGTAGAGTCCACCAGTACTCTTTCACAAACTCACCCTCCGTGAATGGCTTACTGTTTGTGGTGATTTTGTGAGATGTCAGAAAGATGGTCTTGGTTGTTGCATCCCTAGATGTGTGAAGCTTGATAATAAAAAAAAAAAGCCCTGCTGCTTTAGTACCTTTGCTAGCCTTAGCTAGCCCAAGCTACCTTAGCTAGGGTTAGTAAAATCACAGAACTCTCCAACTGAAGGTGCTTAACCCCCCGACTGTTACAGAAATGCAGGATTTTTGGCAGGTCTTTCAACGGTTGGCCAACATCACTGTCTAGTGCCTTATATGTCTGTGTTACCCTCTTGACTTCAGACCACTTTAGACCACTTCAACCCTCTCTAATCACAGACCTGCAGGCATTATGTGAAGTGGTCACGGGTCTGTAATCTCTGCTGCTGTTCTTTAAGGTTTGCTATGATAACCTCAGACTCAAAAAAGAGCTGAATCCTCCCACACGGTTCTTGCTGGTGGCTAGAATTTCACCGGCCTGCCTCCTGCTACCTTGTCACGTTACATTAGAAACCACTTTGAGGGAAGGCAGGGAGCATCTTTGTCCACCGCAGAGACAGGGCCTGAAAAAGAGAGTGCTTTTGATATGATGGAGGTGCTGCATGAGGCCCTGAAGGAGGAGAAGGTATTTCTTTGTGTTTGTTTTGGTGTGGCTTTGTTGTTTTGTCCTCACTGCTTGCTGTATTCCCCAGAACATACGCCTGACTGAAGAGGCATCAATCAGCCCACCAAAGAGAGTGAAGATATTGACCTGCCTTCACCTCAAGTGGACACAGCGAACAACACTCCGAGTGTAGACCAACTGAAAAGCAGGTCTTTTTACATTCATGGCATTTTCAGTCAAAGTCTGCTTGAGTTCACTTTGACTTTTATCCACAGTTTTAATCTCACACTCTGCAGGCAGGGTCACCATTACAGTCTATCAAAGTCAAGGGATTTTCCTGCATTTGTAGATTTGCCTGAAGATACACAATAAATGGACTATATAGATGCGGCACTTGTGTCAATTTCACCCATTCACGCCACACTCAGACGCTGATAAATGGCGGAGGCTGCTCGCTCAGACACAGACGGCCGTCAGGGGTTAAATCCTTTATGGCAGGACCTTCAAACCTTCTAACTGAGGGGTAAACATCTGAGCGCCGACTGACCCAAGGGTCACCAATTCTCTCAGGTTGAGACCCAAAAGGAAAAAAGATGGAGTCTCAGAGGGCCCCTAACCTACTGAGTTAGCGGTGCAAGTATCGGCTTTTTCAGCCTCAGAAATGTTTTCATGATTCGAGACTCTTCAGGTAGCTTCACTCTGTGTCACTGGGTCTTAAATAAAGAACATTTTACTTTAGAAGCTGAAAAGGCTGATTTGTTAGATCTGCAGTCTATGATCAAATGTTGATGGTAAAAGAGCTCAAATCCTTTTTTCAGGACACACTGAGATTATTGTATCATGAGTGAAATTTGAGATTTTATTTGGAGGGTATTATTAGCCAAATAGATTCAAAGTGGAGAGTGGAAAAGCATTTTATCGTCCAGTTAGACCGAGTCAACAGTCCGCACAGGTTTTCTACCTGCTTACTTCTACTTACAGCCTGTTAGAGTCACAGTTTGAGCTGCATCTATACTGACAGTTAACTCTGCGGGAGTCTTTAATGGGACAACTTAGGTGTTTAAACTCACATTAGACATTTCCACAGATGATGAAGAAACAGGCCGTGTCCTTTTACCAGCCTTGTAAACACTCCTGCAAGACGCTTTTAATGCATTTTATTAATGCACTTTATTTACAGGCAGCTTTCAAAGAGACGGTACCTTTGTTACCATACACTTTTATTTTATTTTCATATTCATTTTTATTATTTCATCGTTCTTGTATTATTCTATTCTATTGTATTATTTTATAATGGTATTTTTTCTTGTGTTATTTTATTGCTTTTATGTAAAGCACTTTGGGTACCATTTGGGATATTGTAAAGTGCTATATAAATAAAATTTGATTGATTGATTGATTGATACACTTCCTCCAGTTTGAGCTCTTAACAACGTTTATCCCTGTTATTCCCCCTCACTGTGTTCAAACTAAGCAGACTCCTTCCAGCAGGTTAATGTTACAGTTAAACAGGCGCATTCATGAGAAATAAGAGCACCACTATTCAGAAATAACCAAAACAAGAATCAAGCGTCTGACACAATTACGTCGTCAAAAGTGTATTTGACAGTAAAATCTCAGAGTGATGGAAAAATATATTTCTGTTCATAGTTATTTCAGACTTTACATCCGTCCACCTTGTCACTCATCATGTCAGACTTC